CTGGGCTGAAAAATCCCTAAGACTCCATCTCCCAACTAACCTACAAAGAGCCAGGCTGGAAGCACAGCTCAAGACTCTTATCTCTAACCAGCTAAACTCTGCAAGTGGTACTATAACTCAAAGTGATTCAGTGCTGGCCTTGAGCAGAAGTGCTCAGGGCCTTGAGTTCAATCCTCCTTGAATACCAACTGGGACAAGCCATCCCAGCAACGAGTACCTAGACTCAGCCAGTCTGGGGAACAAGGGAACATGGACAGGAGTAAGAGGAGATGATGTCACATCAGCTACTTTGTGCCTGCCCTTTCAAAATTAACCAGAGCCGGGAGGTCAGTAGAAGTAAGAAGCCTGCCCAGCCAATGTCTATACCTGTCTACCTATTAACTGAACAGGAATTTATATTCTTGCCTTTTGTCAGCTGACTTCTCTACCTAGTCGCCAGATGTCAGAAGTGGCTAGGGACATTTCTACCAACATTTTCAGCCCCAAGTCCTTCCTCTTGCCATTTATTTGCTCTCTAGTATTTTTTTTTCCAGCCCCTCAATGCTCATGAGACTTCTCCAGACTTCATCTAAGGACTCACGCCACCAAGGGACTGCTGCTGCTCACTGCCTTCTCTGGGAGGAGACCAAATTCCAGCCTTTTACCCCTATTGTCGACACCCTTTTCAGCAGGAAGTAGCCAGAGAGAATCTGCACCCTGTTTCATGATTATTAAAAGGCTGGAATGTAAGGTCTGCTCCTGGATGGCCAGCAGACTCTACCCTCCTCGCAGCAAAGTCTCCACCCAGTACCTGCATTACCTAGGCAACTGGGACACCTGGAAGAGGTCACATCTGCATCTGCTGAGGTCACATCTGAATTTGATATGGCCACACTTTTCTCTGCCCATACCCTAGATAAGGCCTAGCCCAGGCCCAGAGGGTCTCTCTCTGCTCTTTTCTAGCTCTTCTCTAGCTCTTCTCTAGCTATTTTCTCTCTTTTCTAGTTCTCTCTTAGCTCTTTTCCCCAGCTCTCTCTCTTTCTCTCTCTTTCCCAGATCTCTCTTTCCCAGGCCTTTCCCCACCGCATGGAGGACCAAGATGGCCTGATGCCAGCCTGAACGATGAATAAACCTACCCCTTACCTGAAAAAAAAAAATGAGTCAACAAACCTCTCAGTAAAAGAATAAATATAAACAGCTATCAAAAGTACATTGCTATTGATATGGAAAAGGGATCTAATGTCCAGTTATGATATCTGGATATGTTTGACCAGACATCCCATCAATAAAAAGTATATATGTATATTTGTAGATATATGGGTTTACATACACATGTATTTTATTATGCACCAGAGCTACTTTATTAAAATATTAAAAATACCTTATAAAGCAAAGAAATTTATATGGATTATAAAGAAATAAAAATGAGAAAACCGCTTCAAAAAACAGTACAAATATTCAATACTCAGAATGGATCCCCTATGTTGTATAAATTTTCTAATCAGATGAATGTCACATAACATAAAATTCATTTAAAAGTTTACAATGCATTGGCATTTATTATATTCACAATGTCATATAAACATCACTACTATCTAATTGCAAAGCATTTCAATCATGCCCAAAATAAATGCCACACCTAGTAACAGTGACTCCCTCTTTATTACTCAGCAATTATTAGTGTACCTCTATCTCTACACAGTTGCCTTTTTGTTTTTCTATACTACTCTATGTAAATGAAATAACAAAATATTTGTCATTATTTTGTGTACCAGTTTGTGAAATAGCATTCTGAAAACATTCTAAATCAGTTTTTGTTTGATTTTTGGTCAGTCGTGGGGCTTGAATTCTAGTCCTGGCCACTGTCCCTGAGCTCTTCAGATCAAGGCCAGTGCTCTACCACTTGAGCAACAGCACCACTTCTACTTTTCTGGTGGTTTACTGGAGATAAGAATCTCACAGACTTAAAACGAAAAAAGCCGGAAGTGGCACTGTAGCTCAAGAGGTAGAGTGCTAGCCTTGAGCTGAAGAGCTGAGGTACAGCGCCCAGGTCCAGAGTTCAGGCCCCACGATCGGACACCCCCCCCCAAAAAAAAAGAATCTCACAGACTTTCTTGCCTGGGCTGGCTTTGAACTGCAATCCTCAGGTCTCAGCCTCCTGAGTAGCTAGGATTACAAGAGTGAACCACCAGTGCCCAGGCTAAATCAGTTTTTAACTCATAATTTTTATCATTTCTAAACACTATGTACAAAACCCTATGGACACAGAAGTATATCTTTTCAGCTCTAATTATCAATATGTTATCAAAATTAGAATAGAGTGTCAGCCACTTTCAACAGACATTTTTCCTTGAGGGAGTGGTATTAGGTATTAAATCTATGGCCTCACATGTGTTCTACCAATGAGCTACATCCCAGCTTCTCTTAAGTATTCTTATGACCAATTTAGAACTTATATTTTTATACTAGTGTTTGAACTCAGGACACCTCACACTTGCTGGACAGGACCTCTACCACTCATCTAAGTCTCCCGCCCTGCTAATTCATTGGTTATTTCTGAAATATGATCTTAGTTCCTGCCCAGGCACATGCCTAACACACAATTTTAGGTGTCTCATTGTTACTGGGATGATAGATGCATGCTACTGTGCTCAACTTCTCTGGGTTGAGCTGGAATGTTCTGAATTTTTCTACCTGGGCTGGCCTAGAAACCATGATCTTCACAATCTCAGCTTCTCCCATAGCTTGGGATAACAGGTACATAATCACCCACGTACGAAGTGAAAAAGGGTCTTACAAACTTTTCTGCCTAGGCTGGCTTTGAATCACAATCTGCCCCATTCTTAACCACCTGAGTTGGCTGGGAATATTAACAATAGTTTTAACAATCAATTCCAAATTCCCCTTAATTCTCTGTACAGGTTGTAAATATATCTGAAATTTTCTTATTTCAGATTAAGTATAAATATATAAGTGTTTTTATGGTAAGGCACTCATGTAATTTTCTTTCTTCCTTCCTTCCTTTCTAAAGAACAGAGCTTTATCTTTATAAATAACAGAGCTTTATTTAGCACACGGTTCTGGAAACTGAGAAGTCCAAGATCATAGCACCATCTTCTTAAATACTTTAAGTACTCTTAAAGCACTGTATAACCATGTAGTTTTCAATGACCAAGCAACATAGTAATGTTTAACAAACATTACTTTCAAATATCCTTCTTCATGAATTTATTTCCAAAAGTAATTGCTCTATCATGGTTATTTTAAAAAATCTCATTTATCAGCAGACACATTTTGAGAAAAATAAAAAATATTATTCTTTAAAATCTATTAATCAGAAAAGATTAAGAACTTATAAGCTAAAGACCCACTTGAAACTGCACAGATAATATGCCTCCAATGGCCAACCTGGGCTAGCCAAAGGCAGACCCCACGAACCCTCAGCTCTTAGTCAGCAGGAACAGCACCAAAAGACAAAGTCTAGACAGAACCCAAGTGTTTGACTAGATGGACAAATGCGTGGGCCAAGTGAAATGCAACACAGAACCAGCTTGACTGTCAGCAAGGTGCCAGGAAAGAGGAAGAGGCACAGCAAAATGAAGTAAGACTAAGTGTACAGTGGCTACAGCCACAGTAGGGATCAGAATGGTTTAGAGAGGGTATGGAAGCTGGAAAGCGGGGACGTTGAAGGCCAGGACAGAGTCAAAACAGCCCAATCTTCCTGCCCCCAAAAGAAAGGCATTCACTCCAGAATGGAGATCTTCAGAAACTGTTTTCTAGATGTTGAACTCCCTCAAATAAGGGGTCTGAGTAAGAAGTCTGACAAGGGATGGGAATGGGAAGTTGGTATGTTTGTAGAGAACTGAGGCCCCCAGGAAGCCAAGGACTAGACAATCAAATGATCAGAGTATAAATCTGCCTTTCATCTTTTCTACCACTCTGCCTTGATATTTTAATTTTCCTTTAATGTCTTAGTAAAATTTCTTTTGAAAATTTAAAAAGTAAATAAAAGGAAGAAATTAGCAGGTAAAATCTAAAAGAGATAGCTAACCATCTATTTGGACATAAGCAAAGCAATTTACATTGGAAATGAGGTCTCCTGAAAGCATAAGATCTGGCCAGCTATCCACATAATTTAAATGTAAAGAACAGAAAACTTATTTCACTTAAAAATTATGGTAGAATAACTGAACAATTCTAACTAGAAGTCTTAACTAAAAAGTTCATTAAAAAGTTAGAAAACACTTGTATTTTTGGGGGGGGTCCGGTCGTGGGGCTCTGGGCCTGGGCATTGTCCCTCAGCTCTTCAGCTCAAGGCTAGCGCTCTACGACTCGAGCCACAGCGCCACTTCTGGCTTTTTTTCTTTTTGCTTATGTGGTGCTGAGGAATCGAACCCAGGGCCTTGAGCATGCAAGGCAAGCGCTCTACCACTGAGCCACCTTCCCAGCCCTTAGAAAACACTTATATTATAAATATAGTTGTCCCATGGCGGTTGTAGAGGACTGATTTCAGAACACCTTCCATAGATGTTCAAGTCCATAAATAAAATAGCAGTTATTAACATATCCTATGTACTTTAAAACATCTCTAGATTACTTATCATCTCTAATCAAATATGAATATTACATAATAGTTGCTTACTGTATTATGTAGGAATAATGCTAAGAAAATTAATATACATGTTCAGTACAAGCACAATATTTTATATATACTTAATCTGAAGTTCCTTGAATCCACTGATTAAAAGAAACTCAGGACACAAAGGAATACTATGCTAATTTGGTAAACAGAAATTATTAAGCCACTGGAATTAAAAGAATAAAATAGAGGCATAAAGTGTTCACTTTTAACTAGGCACTGTTTACCATTATCCAACAAGTGTTTGGAATAACACTTGCAGATGTATTGACTATATAACAGCAATGTATTTTAAAGATATTCAAAGAATTTGCAACATATAGGAGCTTTGACAATCAGAATTTATTAGTCCATGAAAGTAATATAATAAAAAGTTTCCTACCTTCGTGATAAGAATTCGGTATCTATCCAGCATTGCCTGGTTGTCATGACAGCGTGCTAGTAACTGCCATACTTCTGCCCTCAGTGCTTCGGGAACACCACTCTTTACCAAACTGGATAGCCCTTTTGGTCGGGAATCAAGGTTACTGTGCCTAAGGAAAGAAGAAAACAAACCATTCACATTTTCATTTGCCACTCCTGAACTGTTACTGCTATAGAAAGCATATTTATTCATTTATATAAAAGTATAAACCTGGATCAGGAGAAAAATGATGAGGGGCATGAAACTAAAATAGTGCTTTAATGTCAACAATGTCTTGACTTTTTTCTGTGTACCATCTTGTTAATTGGTGAGCTACATTATTCCATCTTTGAAAAAATATTTTTCATATTCTCATTTACTCTTTAAATTCATCCTATGAACTTATTCATTACCATGAATGTGTTATAAAATTCAAGCTGACATTTCAAGGCATAAATATAGCCACTTGAATCCCTGAATATGTAATGTAAGAATGTAGGGCAACCTGGCTAGTGAGGTGTCAGGAAGTGGTTTTGGAAGCACATAACAGATCTATCAGACCTTGATAGCATCTGCTTCTCTAAGGTCAGAATGAGTTGGTGAAAAAAGTGCAAAAAGCAAGCTCCGCAATGTAGAAGGCATGGAGAATAGATACTTCTGTTTCCTGTCCAACCTATGTCCTGAACTCAAAGCTCACTGAGAAGCCCTACAACTGACAGCCTAATTTGGAATTCTTTGTTTCACCATAAACCTAAATATGAAGGACCTTCCTGATTTAATTTATCTAAGATGACTTTTTTCTTTGGTTGGTCGTGGGGCTTGAACTCTGGGCCTGGGGTCCCTCAGCTCTTCAGCTCAAGACTAACACTCTACCACTTGAGCCAAAGCATCACTTCCGGCTTTCTTGTGGTTTATTGGAATAAGAGTCTCCCTGACTTTCCTGCCAGGACTGGCTTTGAACTTTGATCCTCAGATCTCAGCCTCCTGAGTAGCTAGGATTACAGACATGAGCCACCAGTACCCGGCCTAAGATGAATTTTTTTTTTGTAAGAAGAGTTCATTATTGTTTCCATTTTGGATTTGTCTTGCTAATTTATTTTGACTTCAAGCACTCCCTAAGAGAAAAACACAAATGTTCTGATCATTACCAGAACCTCTGTAACTATCTTGCTGGAGAAGCAACACATACTTACTAGCCTTACTCCTTCTCAAGGGTGTTTAGAATCAGAACAAGGGCAAATATATCATGTCTTAAAGTTAGTGATTACATGTAAGAATGCCACTATGTTAACTTGCCATCTGATAAAAAAAATTCAATTAGAGTTCCCAGGCTTATGAATGGAATTCTACTCACTTTTCCAAGTTGTCTAGCTTAAACCTAAAACAATGCTCTATGACTTTTTGTTCAGACAATACTTTTTTGCTTTTGCTCACTTTTGATCTGAGAGCTGACCCTGGTGCGACTATCTGCACTTCAAACCTTGATGATACATCCTACTATGTTATAATACCTCAGGTTCTGAAATCAAATGTTAAGCCTGAATAAAAGTCATGGAATCCACAAAATTGAACTCTCACACAATTGTCTTAATTATACACACTCTTTCATCTCCAGTCTAGATCTGAACTGTGACAGTCCTTTCTGCAAAAAAAAAAAAAGTTCAATATTTTCTCTCCCCCATACTTCTATAAATAGGTATCTTTAAGAAAAACTATAATAACTTAAATTCAGGCAAACTCATCACATTACTATTTTAAATAACTTTAAGATTTATGTCCATTCTGCTTTCAGGTAGCTAAACTTAGATTTAGGTGTTAAGAGAACCTAAGCTGATAGTGTTGACATGCTTAAAGCAAACTGAAGTAGGAAGATGTAGCCCTCACAGAACTGACCATGATTAAAGAATATAATTACATTCCTAAGTGACAAAAGTACATTTCAAAAATAATATGTGGATGTTATTTTAAATATACATATACACACTATTTTGAAACATGTTTTTAAACACGTACTAGGAAAAATACGGAAGAACATGCTCCAAAGTATCCCTTTCATTTTGATTTACTGCCTGAAATGTTTGCAATGATTTTAAATTCTTTTATAGTCATAAAGTCAAAGTTTCAATTCTTTCAATTTCTCTTATAGATTTGAATTAAAATACAATTGTAGTTTGGAAAAATTAACAAAATAGATAAATATGTTCCGCAAACTAAGGAAAAAAGTGGGGCAAGCATTGTGGTACATTCCTGTTAAGTCCAGCACTCAAGAGGCAAAGGTAGGAGGATCTCAAGTTGAGGCTAGCTCAGCCTTCAGAGCAAGTTCTACATCACAAAGCTTCTGTTTCAACAACCACTCAAAAAAAAAAAAAGTAGAGAAAGAGTATTACTTATTCCTGAGAATTATAGCTGAATAAAGCATTAGATATTTGGAATTCCCTTAAGTTGCCTGTTCTCCACAACCCAATGAGTTTAATATTATTAAAAATAGTATGTCACATGAGAGTATCTGTTATGAAATTTGTTATTGCTTAGTCTTTGTTGTAATTTAATGTTTGCTTCTGAGTAACCTTTTTGAAAGAAAAACATGGTTGAAAATACTTCAAACTGTACTTAGTACAGAATGTGAATTAAGTAAAAGCAACAGTATAAGTGTGCAAAGTATTCCCTTTGAAGTTAAAGACAAGATGTTCCAAATTATGACCCCCGTTACTGTACAAATAAATACTGTAAAAATTTAAAGGAAATTCAAAGTAATTCATATTACATGTTGTACAGAGATCAGTAAGTCATTGCTGTGATTTTAATAGGTAACTTCAGGTAAAAGAAAACGTTATTAAGCAAAAAAAACTTTATTAAGCTTCACATAAGAATTGATTATACTGTCTTCTACACTGCACATAAAATTTCTCAAAACTGTATACACATTATCTCTTTTCTTTCCCTCACTCACTTCTTAACCCAGTTCATCATGGCTTCTCCATTTCTTTTTGAAAAGTTCTCTTGAAGTAATCTGTGACTTCTCTTCATTCCACTGAGTTCAAGTGGCATTTTTCAATCCCCTTGAAGAACTGAATACTCTTTTACTTGAACTTTCACTATTTCCCTCTGCTCCAATGACAAAGCAGTCAGTCCTTCTTTATGCCTCTTCATAAACTCAGTCCTCAGTTCTCATGGTTTCTCAATTACCTCTTTCAGATCTTGCCTACAGTGATCTAATTCTTTTGCTTTTGTTTGTAGGCACTATTACTTCTATCCCTTATAGTCTGAGCTCTAGAGGCTCAAAAGCACCAGAAAAATCATCATTTCCTAGTCTGGATTCATATGGTTCTCACTAAGTCTGAATTGTTTTCTATACTATTATCCCACCTTCAATAATTGTTGACACAATATACAAACTGAAAACCTAGGCGTTATTCTCGTCATTACTCTCTCCTCCGCATAGTCCATTACTAATCCATCACCAAGTCAAACAAATCTCATTTTTCCAAACTCTCCAAAGTCAATGCACTCCTATCCCTCAACTGCAACTAACTGTATCTACCACAGACCTCTGTAATGAAATTCCAGCATCCATTTGTCCTATTACAATATATCTCCAACACAGCAGGCAGAATAATGTGAACAATCAGTTTGATTAAATAAATATTCAGTAGGCTCAACGTTTGTATAATCATCTCCCTAAGATTTTGAAAGTAGAAGATATATATAGGCATACATATGCATATATCTCTTAAAATTAATACTCAACTGACACCAATAAACATTTTACCAAGATATAACTCAATTCAATCAATATTCAGCTTCTAGCCGATCTCATTTATTTGTTTATCCAGGAATAATGAAAATACCTTTTCTTTGCTCTTGAAAACCTAGATGTAATTTATCTTTACAACCTAATGTTAAACAATACACATGGCTCACATGACACTATTGATTAAAAGTCTTAATTTACTGAAAAGTAATTCTGTATCTAATATCTTCTTAACAGGACTAAGCAAATTCCTATGACCAAAGAAAATAATTTGTTTAGTGAAATAATTGCCCCCAACATTTCCAATAAAAAATATATGTACATAGGGCCATTGCTTTAATAAAACATTAACTGCAGCTATCAGAAACCTGGAAATAGAAGAATTACTATGGAATATAGTGATTTCTGCCCAAGAAACAAGATAGATACCTAATACTATCAATTAAAAGTCGCACATAAACCAAATATCTACTAATTATTTGGTAATCATCTAGTTTTTGTAATGCACAAACACAAATTCAGAATCTGTTCTTTACTTGTATATTCTAAGTACCTAAGACATATATCTGACACATAGAAGGCATTCAATATATTTTTGATAAATGGATGAATGCAGTTATAAAGTGAAACAAATATGACCAACTATTAAGATTAGACAGAAAAGAATGCTTTCTAAATAATCAAAAGCTGTTATTATTTATCTAGCTGATTTCCTATGTTTTAGAAGGGGATTTTCTTAAAGTTACAATAGGCACATAGAACTTTTTTGTATTTTCAAATTTGTTTACTTGTGGAGAAAATTTCAAAGGAAGTAATATTTTAAACAAAAGCAGTAGAAATCAAGAGATGAGAAAATCATTGAATGTGACCACTGAGAGGTTGACAATGAAATAGGACAATTTTAATAAAGATATAGTGAAAGTAGGTGGCTAGAAGATATAGAACAACAGTCCTACCATTCAAAAAGTTTTCTCTGAAAGCGAAAAAATTAAAACAGAAATTACAAGATGGAGTAGCAGCAAGTAAAGCTGGAATTTTCCTTACCCAAAGTGAAACCGGTATGTAAAATTTATATACATAATTAAAAGCATAGTAAAGGAATTGCCTAGCATATGCAAGCCCTAGCATTATCACTCTATGTTCAACAAAGTAATCTTGCTACCATTTTGTTCAATTTCTAAGTTTTTCCATCACAAATTCTCCCTCTCTCCTGTTCTTCCTTTTTCATCATGCTTCTTCCATCTCACTCACTTTCTCTCAATTTCTTTGATAAGCTTTTACTCCAATTTCTTTTTTTATTGTGAAAATACCATACAGAGGGGTTACAATTACATCGGCAAGGTAATGAGTGTATTTCTTATCAAACATTGTTGCCTCCTCCTTTGTTTCCCCTTACTATCCCTTCCCATTTCCCCCCACCGCGCGCACACACACACACACGCACACAAACAAAATGGCTTTTTAAAAAAAAGATGTTTGGGGCTGGAAAGGTGGCTCAGTGGGAGAGTGCTTGACTTGCATGCATGAGACCCTGGTTCGATTCCTCAGCACCACATAAATAGAAAAAGGCTGAAGTGGTGCTGTGGCTCAAGCGGTAGAGCACTAGTCTTGAGCTGAAGAGCTGAGGGACAGTACCCATGCTCAGAGTTCAAGCCCCACGACTGACAAAAAAAAAAAAAAAGATGTTTGTATCTACTTGACTTCTTAGTGGACTTGCTAACTATGTTTCTTTGAGTAGCAAAATGAAATTTTAGCTGGCACAGATGGCTCAGACTTGTAATCCTAGCTACTCAGTAGTCTGAGATACCTGAGAATCATGATTCAAATCCAGTTAAGGAAGTAAAATTTGTGAGACTCTTACCTCCAATTAACCATCCAAAAGAGCAAGAAGTAGAGCTATGGTTTAAGTGGTGGAGTACTAGCATTAAGCATGCCTGGTACGTGCATGAACTTGTATTTTACTTAAACACATAGAACTTAATTAAAATAAGCTAATTATAAATATATAAATATAAAATTCTAACAAGAAAATAATATTTTACCATCGTCCTAGCAATTCTCCCCAAGAATATAAGATCTTCTCAGGACAATCCTTAGAAACATCACCTGTTCCACTTGAGAGTTCATTATCACTTTCTGTAGAAGAAACACAATACAAAACACTGTATATTACATTATATATTACAGTAGGTAATTTAAAATATCAATATTTTTAAATCAAGCAATATTTTATATTACTGTGTCCACTGAAATAACTGAACTTTTCTTTAATATAATTTATTTTTAATACCTAAATACTTTTAAAGAAATTTTAAAAAATTCACATCCACAGATTACATTTCATTAAATGGTAATGTTTATAATAAACAACTTTATCCAAAGAAAACAATATTAAAAGCCAGTGGATGGGGCTGGAAAGGTGACTCAGTGGTAGAGCGCTTGCCTTGCATGCATGAGGCCCTGGGTTTGATTCCTCAGCACCACATAAGCAGAAAAAAAAAAGCTGGAAGTGAAGCTATGTCTCAAGTGGTAGAGTGCTAGCCTTGAGCTAAAGAGCTGAGAGACAGCGCCCAGGCCCAGAGTTCAGGCCCATGACAGGACCAAAAAATAAATAAAAATAAAAATAAAAGCCAGTGTTAACCATTGGGCAAAGTAAGAAGTCATAGACCCCATTCCTCATTTCAACTGTGTTATCCTTTCCACCTTCTACATGTGGACATATCACCAAATACAGACAATTCCCTTGGACAAGAAATCAAAATAAATCATCCAGCTTCCCTAGCATTCCAAGATGTTGTTTGGAAAAGCCATTCAGTTTCAGTTCACTAGAGGAAAGGGCATGGCTTGACCTCATGAGAGTTTCAGATAAACAAGGAAATCTTGGTGGTACCTGCCAGCTGTAGCACCAGATCGGAGAAAAAAGCCAAGCTTTCACCACATCAGAAAGGTTAAGTTGGTTATCTTTAGAACCATGGTGAGAACAATCTAACTTGAGCACTTAAGATTACTAGAATCTACAACCAGCCTCAGAATCACCCAACAATTCTGGGAGGTCCTGGTATGCAAGGTCCTAAAAATCCAAGGAGATACCCATCTCTGTTCATTTTGTGATTACTGGTGTTGTTGTTTTAAAGAGGGTTATAGGGACTGGAACTGCTTTGATCTAGCAGGTTAATATCCCCTCAACTCTGACAAAAGCTCATCCCATGGGTATATCTACCCACACAAGACAGCAACATCCACAATCTAAAAATATAAAAAGTAAATACCTAATAGCTGTACAGATCAGTGACTATAGCTATAACCCAAGCTGTAGCAGCACTGCCTAATGGTAGATTCTACACAAAAGAATTGCCTGGCTAGGGAATACATTTTATAACCAAGCTGTTAAGAAGCAATCACACTGCCCAGCCAAAGTAGGTCTACCTGATAATTAAGCCCGGCCAGTGGTCTCATCAGTTAAGTGGAGCCCAACTAGTACTGCCATCTGATACCTGAGCAAAGGCTTCAGGCCAGTAAGCCAGAGAATTCATATCAAGTACTACAGTATTGCCAGTGACACATCCAAAATCACAAGACAGGCTAAACAGTAAAACTTTATCCTTGCAAAAGAACCTATGTAAAGATCTGAAGAGAGATTATCCCCTCAAATGCAAAGAAAACACAAGGACATGAGGATTATGATGAATAAAAGAATTGTGACACCTCCAAAATAAATAATACATCTTCAATAACAGATATGAAGACCTATGAAATGGCTTAACAAAGAATTCAAAATGATACTCATAAGGAACCTCACTGAACTATAAGGAAATATGGATAGAAAACAATGAAATGGAAATGTATGAAAAGTGAAGAATAATGACCAAAAAACAGGTGCAACTGAAAAGAATGAGACACCGTAAGAGATAAAACCTTCACATAAAAAAGTTGCAGAAAGAAAAGCACTAGAAAGCATATTTAAAGAAACAATGGCTAGGCAAGACATAGTAACACATGCATGTATTTAGAAGGTAGAGATATGATATTTGAAATCACCTAATCAGAGAAGTAAAAAGACAAAATGAAAAAGAGTGACAAAAACCTGTAGATGATATCAGGAACAGTTGAAATCTTCACATAATGGAACTGAAGAAGAAAGAACACCATAAACCATATTTAAAGAAATAAGGGTGGGAGAGGAAGTATTCACACATGTCCAGCTTCTCAGAAGGTAGAAAAAGGAGAATTACCATTCCCAGCTACTTGGTGGTAGAAGTAGGATTACAGGGGACAAATACAGCTAGAATACTCAATGTGTATATGTGGACAAAGAAAGTGGGAAATGTGAAGTAAGTCTAGGGGAAAGAAACATGATGATGGCAGAATGATGAAATGGATAATTATGATCAAGAAGCACTAAACACTTAGATGTTTAATCTTTTAAGGAACCTCCATACTGCTTTCCAGAGTGGTTGTACCAGTTTACATTCACACCAACAGTATAAGAGTGTTCCTTTTTGGCCACATCCCCGTTAGCATTTGTTATTGTAGTTTTCCTGATAATGGCCATTCTACCTGGAATGAGGTGGTATCTCAATGTTGTTTTGATTTGTATTTCTTTTATGGCCAGAGATGTTGAACACTTCCTCATATGTCTATCTGCCATTTTTACTTCTTCCTCTGAGAAGTCTCTCTTTAAGTCTTTAGATCCGTTATTGACTAGGTTATTGAGTTTTTGAAGGATGCCCACTCCCTCCACTCCTCTTCAACATAGTGCTGGAATTCCTAGCAAGAGGAAGAAGGCAAGGGAAAAACATAAAGGGAATCTAAATACGAAAAGAAGTAAAGCTATTCCTCTTTGCAGGCAATATGATCCTGTATTTAAGAAACCATATGGAGTCCTCACCCAAGCTACTTGAGTTAATCCAAAACTTTGGCAAAGTAGCAGGGTGTAAAATCTACCCAAAAAATCAGTAGCTTTCCTGTATAACAAGAAGAGTGAGTCTGAAATCAGGAAAGCAACCCCATTTGTAATTGTCTCAAAAAAAAAATTTTAAACCTAGGAATTAACTTAACCAAAGATCTGAAGGACCTCTATTTTGAAAACTTTAAAATTCTGGAAAAAGAAATTAAAGCAGACTTAAGGAAACTGAAAAACTTCCCATACTCTTGAATAGAAAGAATTAACATTATAGAAATGGCAATTCTACCCAAAGCAAAATACAAATTCAATGCAATACCCATCAAAATCCCAACAACTTTCTTCAAGGTAAAAGAGAAATCAATCCAAAAATTCATATGGAATAATAAAAGGCCCAGAATAGTAAAAACAATCTTTAGCAGGGAAAACAATGCTGGAAGAATATGAATACCAAACATCAAACCATAGTAATAAAAATAGCTTGGTACTGGCACAAAGATAGACCTGAGGACCAAAGGAACAGAAGACCCAGAAATAAGCCCCCAAACATAACAGCCATCTAATATTCAATAAAGGGGCCAAAAACACAGGTTAGAAGAAAAGCAGCCTCTTCAACAAAATGGTGTTGGCAAAATTACATTTAGAAAACTGAAGGTAGATACTCATTTATCACCCTATTCCAGAATCAACTCTAAATGGATCTAAGACATGAATGTAAGCCCAGAAAGGGGGAAACTCTAGGCCTTCTAGGCACAGGTTGAAACTTCCCAAGAAAAGATCCAGAATTACAACAAATCAAAGAAAGACTGGATAAATGGGATTGCACCAAACTGAAGAGCTTCTGCATGGCAAATGACATAGCTGGCAAAATAAATTGAAAGCCTATAGAAGCCTAGAGAACAGCAGAAGATTTTCACTAGCTATGCATCAGACAATGCATCTATAAAATTTTTATGAAAACATTCTGATCACATTCTCTATGTAGGCATTTGATATCTGCAGCATTAATGCTTTATATGTCTTTTCCCCTCTCCTGGAATCCAAGCTCTCTGAATGCTGAAGCTGTGTCTTATTAATCTATATAGAAGGCTTTTAACATATAACAACACTCAAGTGAGGAAGTAAACTAGAAGGATTTCTTTTGATTTCATTCAAAAGTAAAGTGTAAGGATTTCAATATTATTATTATAAGTTTTAGATTATGTTCATAAGCTTAGTAAAAGGAATAAAAATATTAGAGAGAGAAAGATGAAGACTCATAGGGATGGTGACAACAGAAGAACATTTCCTCTTTTAACTATACCAGCAGCAAAGGGAAAGTTTGAAGATGATTTTCTTCAAAAAAGGTTAAAAAGATTTCCATATTAATAGTCTCAAGTTCTTATATCCAAGTTTAGAGTTAAAAGAGCTCCCTGAAAGACTATCTTAATTTATGTCATAGCATTGAGGGGACAATGATAACTTCATTCTCTTTTCATGAGCATTGTTCCTCATCTACTGCAGTTCCTCTACAGTATATCAGTCCATTTCAAAAAGGAGAATTAACCAGAATGCTCCAGAGAGCATCAATCCATTCAGCAGGTCTCCTACTTTCTTCCATTTAAACATCTGTTAAATGCAAGCAACCTAACTCCCATGACACTGTATAAATTAAATGAAAGTATATATAAAGCACTAAACAGTGCCTGAGGCACACAGGGGTATTCAATCAGTAGCTGCTGTTACTATTACTCCTGTTATTTTTATTATTCAAGTCTTCATTTTCTGGCTTCATTTTCAAAGTCACTAGAAAACTATTTCAAGTTTTTTTTTTATTCCAGGTTAATGTTGTTTCTTATTATCCACTGATTTTGAATATTTAAGAGCAACAGCTAATTGTATAAATATACAATTGTAGAAGTATACAAAGTATAAGAGTGTATTTTTACATCAAACAAAATAAACATTCATGCTATTTCAATTAAACTAATTTAAGGTTCCTGTCTTAAACTTTTGCCACTCCTTGCTCTAAAACCCTATTAGCAATGTTTTTTTCATTGTACTCATAAAAGAAAAACTTCAGAAGTAGAATGAATCAAAATTATAAAGTATACATATATACATATATACACACATACAAAGATAAACATATATGTACAATTGTTTTTAAAATAAGGTTAAACATAACTTTTAATATTAGGGTCAAATAAGTATAAAATATCTTTGTTTTCTTTTTCTTGAGAACCCCTGAGAA